ATCTGCTTTGTCTTCAGTGATCGTTTCAGGGAAGGTGAGCATCACAGAGTGCCATGTTAGCAGTACTTGAGTGGAGGCCCAATGTTCATCTGTTACTGTAATACTTTATAAATAAATATATGTACATCTTTATTCCACTGTCATTTTATATAAATATATTTACATATATATGCCTGTATTTAGACCTCTATAACAGTCCTATGCCTCCCAGTTCTTTCCTCTATTTCCTTTTACTTTTCTTCCATCCCACTATCATGTTTGGCCTTCATTCAGGTTTTGGTTTAATTCCTCTCAGCTACACTGCCCTTGATTGAGCCCCCCCAAGAATTGTATGCCCTCCTCGCCATCAATTTGAGATCACTTATTCTTCCTTGTCCTTGGGTTTGTTGGCAACCCCCTCTTTTTCCCCATCTCTCCCTCTACCGTGAGTTCTTAATTTTTTTTGTTTCTGCTTGAACCTTGTGTATTAACTCTAAAGAGAGGTATGGAAGATGTTTGTCACTCTTTAAGTGAATTTGAACCACCTCAGGTCTATAGACTTAGGGTTAAATGATATCACAACTCAGAAGTGGGACACTGAAATAAATGTGGACTTAGCTGTAGTTAATGATACTGTGGAAAGCCGCCTTGCCTGGTCCCCCTTGTTGGCTAAAATACACGTACTAGCTCTCAAAGGGACAAGGTGTGATGATTACTCAACCATACACAGCTAGCTAAAGGTTGTTGCTGTGAGGTGCCATCGAGTCGGCTGTGACCCATAGCAGCCCGACATACAACAGAAGGATTTGCGGCAGGGTCCTGTACCATCCTCACAATTATTCCTTGCCCAAGTCCATTGATGTGTCCATCCATCTCCTTGAAGGCCTTCCTCTTTTTGGCTGCCCTTCCACTTTACCAAATGTGATGTCTTTCTCCAGGGGCCGGTCTCTCCTGACAATATGTCCAAAGTATGTAAGGCTAAGTCCTGCTACCCTTGACTGTAAGGAGCACTCTGAACTTACTTTTCCCAACACAGATCAGTTTGTCCTTTAGCAGTCCATGGTACTTTAATCATCTTCTCCAGCACCACAATTCAAAAGCATTAATTCTTCTACAATCTTCCTTATTCAGTGTCCAACTTCCACATGCATATGATGCAATGGAGAATACCATGGCTGGGTGTGGAACTACTTCGTCCTTAGAGTAACTAACATTCTTGCTCCTCAATACTTAAAAACTTCTTACGCAGCAAATTTACTTAATGCGTCTCTTGATCTCTCGACTGCTGCACTGAACGCTCACGGAATCTTCCATGCATCACCGCTCAGGGAAGCTAAAGGCTACAAAGTGTAAAAAAAAAAAAAAAAAAAAGCCTCCAGACCGGTAATGTAGGCACGCGACGAGGAGAGCAGGTAGAAAAACGTGGCATACTACAGGCAAAGGCATTCAAATGTACACAATTTAAAAATGCTTTCTAAGCAGGACTCTAGGGTTACCCTTAGTGACCACTGCAGAGTCAGTCAACTGGACCCGCATGGGGCAAAAGAAAGCTGGCCAATAAACAAGTCAGAGCAGCTCTGGCCAGTCCATGCTGACTCGTCGTGACCTCCCCGTGGGATTCGGAGACAGTAACTGTTTACGGGAGTAGAAAGCCCCCTCTCTCCCAAGGGCGGGGGGTCGGCGTCAACCGCGCAGCCTGCAGACCGCAGCCCAATACGGCACCAGGGGCAGCCGAGGCCAGCGGTCACCGCAAGCAGGGAACGTCGCTGCAGGGCAGCACGCCACCCTCTTATTTTCTAGTCTGTGCCAGTCTCCACTAGGGAGCCCAGCCTCGCGCTGGAATCAGCGAATCCTTAAACGGCTCCAGTAAAAAGCCCGAGCGCTGGGCCCTGCAAGCCCCGTGACTGCGCA